AAATGAATCAAAAGAAAATGTTCGATTTTCAACGTCCAGCTTAGTATTTATCAAAAAAAGCCTGAGGAAGAGCCCAGAAGGGGGCGTCGAAAACATTTGCGGAAGTATTATACGTTCACTCCGGTTATGAGGTTTAAAGTAAGAGTTATTTTTAGTACATTCCGGTGTGTGGAGAAGAATAATTATTCGTAAATGTCGTGGTATTATCCCTGAGATGGAAACAATATTAAAATTATGGTGTGATAATCAATGTTCCCTCTAAGCTGTGCGGCCGCGCACAGCTCAAATTGTTGCCGCGCAGGCGAGCATGCACACCGATTTGAATTGTTGTTTACTTATTTCTCACTCTGTCTGCAACATGATTATTGCTACGTATATTTCGATTAAATACATTAAATCATTGACAAGAGATAATATTTTGTATAAAAGTATGTTTTAAAATTAATTTTAATCTCTACTTTATAATTAATTATTTTAATTTTTATAGAAAAAAATAAGGTTTTATATATATATATATGATCAGAAAAATTTTTTGCTCAGAGAAGCATGTGTTCTGCTCATCCACAAAAAAAATTAGAGGGAACATTGGTGATAATCAAGTAAATGTGAAAAATTGTATAATATAATTTGTTATACATATGTATTATCTAAGATTTTATTAAATTAAGTTTTATTAAGTTTTTCTAAATTATTGTTTCCTTTAGTCTCTGGCCCCAATTAAAAATTATTTGTATGTATTTATATGCGAAATTATACCCTGACTTATGCAAATTCGACTTATGCTGTTATCGCTTGGTCCCACCTATTGCGTTAGTTCAGGGTATTACTGTAATTTTTAAATGAATAATTCTGAATAACACATTTGATGACAATGCTTAAATAGAATTTCATGTGTTCTATCATGTCAAAATTTTTATGCTTTAGTCTAGTGAAAAAAGATCAAAGTGAAAAAATGTCACCCAAAAAGAAACCCAAAATTTTTCTGTCAGTTGATAGATCCCCTATCTGGAAATGCTAGGTAACATTGCATGAAAACTACCTTTGATTGCTGCTTTCCTATTCAAACCTTCTATGTGACATCATGACATCACCAGGTGTCTGGTGCATAGTACTTCCATCACACATGAGCTCAACATTCTGCTGTTTTTCCTGAAGTGATTTATGATTCAGTTTCATGCTGAATGTCAAAATAAGTGGACTGGGGGTTATTATCGGCACTTTAATAGAAAAAAAAATATTGCTGAGTAGTGGCACTATGCAGCACAATTCTGCCAAATTTAAAATTAAATGTGTTTAACTACTGTGCTGTTCACATTAACAGCAATGAGCTTATTACTAAATCAAACTATAATAAACATTACCATATTTACTCGCATATAAGACGAGGATTTTATTCATTTTTCACTACTTCAAAAACCTAGGTTGTCCTGTACGTGTGAGCAAAGGATTCTTTGCGTTTTTGCAATTGTTTTTGTGAACTGCGTGTTCGCATCATTTACCAAATGTTCACCCTCTGGTATTTAAAAACAAAAATATTTTATCGGGGTCGTTTGAATCGTTCTTGTATATTGTCAGGAGTAAAGATGAATAGCAATATAGCAGAGCTTTGAATTGAATTCCAAAATCACACGGGAGCCTGATATAAGTTTTAATCCATTCCCATGTGAAAACAGATTATTCAGAAGTCAGAATTTGGAGAAACTCGTAAGTGTAATTGACAGAGAGTGGATTTAACTTAAGATTTGGCAAAAGAATGCTCCCGATTGTCTAGCTTTATTTACGTGAATAAATTGTGTTGTTGATTTTGCAAGATTATTCCTTAAAGTTTAAGATGCCAGTAATTTTTGTGGGGCAATGTGTGCATTTATGTGCATTTGATACTTTATTTTTGATTAAATGAAATAAAATTAGAATTGTAATAATAAATGTAATTTTCTTTATTTTAATCTTTAGAATCACACCTCGTCCTATATGCTAGATTGTCTTATATTAATATGTGAGTAAATACAGTAATTAAAATACAAAAGGAGTTTTATATTCTTAATCTGCAATGTGTTATGTACAGTACAGTACATGTATTGAAATCATAATTGTGGTGAAAAGAATATCCAGATAGCGAAATTATTTATCTGAAGTGATTGAAAATATGGTGACATATCCAGTTCTGTTTGTAACCAGTCAAAATGCTTAAGTGCATTACAAACCAGTTTAAACTACTTAGTTATATAAGTTAAATCTCATTTAACTTAGATAACTTCATGACATTTTAAGTTAGTTTGACTGAACTAATTCTGTTTTTACTATGACTGCTGAACTAACTTGTTTGACTTTTCTAGTATAAACATGGTAGAAGCAGTGTATATTGATGCCATGTAATAAAATTCTATTAAGAAAGTATGTTATTTAAATATTAATGCCAAAGTTATAAGCAAGTTATAAATCATAACTAGAAAATACTGATGATAAAAAACTCTATTTTCTATTATTAATGTAATTAATATTCATATGGATAAAATTAATAAGTTTAAAACTTTGTCAAATGTTAAAAGCATCATTCAAAACTCTAAGAAAACATTTGAAAATGAAATTATAAAAAACTCTTTTTATATATATAAAATTTAAACTAATGGTTTTACTTATCTGTAAATTCAATTTTATCACTAATTAATTTTAAGTGTTTCTTATCTATAATTAGTGATACTGTTGTCCTGTTTACCAGAGGTGATTTGGATTTGTTACAAATCATTTCTAGATTTTTATTTTTATTTATTTTTTTTTTTTAGAAGTTTCACAAGGCAGCTTGCTTATACTTCTTGATATCATCAATAAATAAATTTACAGTATAAAATTTATTGTTGCATATATATGACAGAAAAAATATATATATATACTGTATATCTTAACATTAAAACTTTTAATATTCCAAAAAAATGGAAAAACTGAAATGATGACTTGACATGATTTATTTATGTAAATATCATATGTAGAATTCTATGTGAATCTGCTGTTTTTGGTTTAATGTGAACTATATTCAATAGTTATCAAACAAAAACATTTGCTTAATACATTCTCCAACTTAGTTTTCTAAAGATGTAATACTATAGTAAAATACATTTTACATGGTTATTGATAGTTATGCAAATGTTTGTGTTGTATTTAACAATTTAGAATGATGCACAAAAATTTTGGTTGTGCAACAAATTACTTTTATCTATTTCTTGTCTTCCTCCAGATTTCTGAGTTCTGAACTTTGTTTATGCTATTTGTCTGCTAGTATTATAATAATCACATTGCTAATACATACATACATGATATATTCTGTGTTAAATTTCATTTATGTTGCAATGTAGATTGTATTTCTTTTCATTATAATTAAATATTAAGTATATATGATTGAGAATAAGTATATGTTAATAAAACAAAATTATTTTAATTGCATTGGTATGTGCAGGATAGGTATAAAAAATTGGAATAAACTTAGGTTAAAAATTGTAGAATGAAAATCTTTTTAATTACAAAAATAAGAAAGTAAATTTTAAAATCTGATGTTTTTTCTATATGTGGATGTGGGGGACACAATTTTGTTCACCCTCTTTGATTAAATTTTGGTGATTGAAGGTCAAGGGGGTGGGATAGCAAATTTTAATCAGAAATTTGTTGAGAGAAAATCAGTGGATACAGATCCAGATCAAAACTAGATACTAAATAATGAAGTGACAGTATAAACGTTCTAAATCTTCAAAAATTAATTTCTGCTTTTGAAGAGATCTTATTCGCGTATAAAACTCTCTCTCGTATCACAGTAATTATGAATCTTAAACAAATACTAAAGTAAAAATAATAGACATATATCGTTGTTATTTTGATTTTTAAGGAAATATTAAGGAGATGGGCATATCTCGCGAACCAATAATCCGATTTTCCTGAAAATTTCTACAAACATTTCCCCTTAATACAGAAACCTCCTTGCAAAATTTCAGAAATTTTCGACCAGAGGCATAGGAGTTATTAACTTCTAAAGTGCGTGAAAAAATCATGCTCCCAAAACACACTAACATGCATACAGAAAACTCTCCAACTTTTGTTTTTTGCATTTTTGACGTTTCGAGGTTCCCTGTGTGCAAAATATAAAAATCTTGGCAGATCATTTTTTGACCGATCGCCATACTTTCAATCTGTTAAATAACAGCCAAGAAAGTAAAAGTAAAAAAAAAAAAAAAAAATGCATCTATAAAGGGGATTCCGTATAAAGTTCCCTATAAAGGGGATTCCCCTTATTCCCTGAGACAGTTAAGAAAATTAGCTTTTATAAAATAAATTTATTAAAATTTAAAAAGAGTTCCGAATTAATATTAATCATAAAATTAATCATAAAAATTTATTTGTAATTTCATAGCTGTATTTTAAAAAAACGATCGTTTTATGTTCGAGAGTAATAATTCAATGAAATAAAGTCAGGTGAACGAAATAAAAATTGTTTAAATTATTATATTAAAATTGTTTTTAAAATTGTGTCAAACTGAAAGTAAAAATAAATTTTATATATGATTATATTCAATATATTTTCGTTTGAAAGTTTTATATTAAACTATTTTAAAAATTCTTTAAATAGGGAAATTTCCCTACAGGAACTATTGCGGCATGAATATATGCGAATATTGGTCTATAAATACGAATTATTTTTATACTTTTATAAAGTTTTAAAGTAAAATAATGAAAATTTNATATAATAAAATATTCTATTTTATATTTATTATTCAAATTAATTTTTTTTATAAACATTTTACTCTTTTGTATCGCTTTCTACAAAGACATTTGAAAAGACGCTAACCTAATCACTGTCTAATATCGATTATTCTTGCGACTGAGTAAATAAACCGAAACAATTGTTTAATTACAGAATTAGTCGACTGATTAAATACGAAATTATTAATTTATAAACCAAACTATTTATTACTTTTCAAATATTTCAAATATAAAACATAAATAAAGAGATTTTTAAAAAATAATCGTTCGGACCGTGAACTTACTATTTCGACCCCGTCATTGAATGTGCACGTTCTTTATTTCCAGCTATTTCACGGTTAAGCGGGAAAACGTGTCTCTTGTCTTTTTTAGACAATATTTGCTGTTAATATACAAGAAAGTAAGTATTAATCTATAACATTAATAACTGATTAATATCAAAGCTATTTAATAACATAATTTACGTTAATAGACATTAAGTAGTATTTTTTACTCACGTGTTTCATTAAGCCTAACTTTGATGCCGGCCCGAGTCATAATCGGCAAATTATTACCGTTTAGATTCAATTCTTCGGTATATTTATGTTATTTTTAGTAATAAGTTATGGGAAAAGATCGGATATTTCAGTAACGATCGTAGTTTTACGTAGAAACATTTTGATATTTTAATCACATGACCCATGCCTTAGTTAACGTGATGCTTTTTATATTCGTTATAAAGAAGCGCGGGATCCGTTTGTAAGTCAATGAATCTATAAAACTGCAATCGATTTTATGAAAATCCCTCGTGATTTTATTATTAATATACATGTTTAAGTTTTAATACACGTATTTACGATGATAATTAAATTAAGCTGTGATCGTAACAATGGCACAGTGCGAGTTTTTTTTGCTACGTTAATCCTTCCGTTATTAACCGTGGAAGCGTGTCATTGTATCATTCAGCGAATCTTTTACCGTTGTTTTAATCTCACGTATTATATACAGTTATGAATAAAAATGATTTGAAATTGTTGATTACCATTTTTCATATGTGTTTATGATCTACAAAACCATATTTTGTAAAAACAAAATTCCGGTTGAGATTCAAAAATTTTGTAGGCAAATATGTTTTCTAAACTTTTTGAATCTACACTGGAATGAAATCTTTAATATTATTTGTAATTGTGTTGAAATTGTCAGTGCACAAAGATCAAAAGATCATATGGGTTTAATGTTATATTACACAATTTACCTATTAATATCATGTTTAGGTTATGAAAAATAAGCTTTTTCAGAATTAACGGTGTTTAATTTAAAATTGAGTGAGAAAAACCGTAGTTGTTTGTGTAACTATTTAAACTGGTTAGTTGTTTCCTTCTTAAACAATCTTTTATTGATAACTAATATTTTCTTAAACATGCTGATTAATTTAAAATAGAAATCAGATTTAGTTGATAATTAAAATATATTGTTGATTGTCTTAAAATTAAGTGTATGGAATAGACAGAAAGTATTGTAAAGTGTTTGTTATTGTATTAAATACAGTAAGATTAAATATAATCGAAATTAGGAAACAAATTATATGCAGTGAAGAGTTGAAAAATCAGATTAATTGAGGCTGGACCCCATATGAATTTTCAAATATACTGTAAATTAACTTTAGGTGTTTTAAGTTCAAACTAGTATTTCCCAAAGAATATAAAATATTTAAAATATATTTAAACAAAAAAATACACTAATCATAATTTCAACATTAAAAAATTACAAATTTTGAATGAATGTTAGAACAACAACAAAGTCATATTGAAAAAGTTGATATCCATTTTAAACCAAAATACCTTCAAAGAAATGTAAATGCTTGATTGTTTAAATACAGTGTTAAATTAGGTGTTTTTATGCAGTTAATTAAATATTGGTTATTTGGCTATGTTCATTGTCACTTCCAGATTATAGTGTGTTTTGAAGAATGCTTTATCTGTTATCGAACAGCATTATTGACAACCTATTAGGTTTTTGGCTAAATGCTAAATGACTGTAGGTTATGTTAAGATAAGACTGGAAGACAAGAAAACACAAAAATACCATAAATCATTTTGGTTAAAGGAAACTGGTTAATGCACAAAAACACACCTTAATTCAGCTGAACTAATTCACACTACTGCCAAACTAGTTTAGGTCATTAAACTAGTTTGGCAAACCACATAGAATTTTAACTTTCCTAGTGTAAATGTAATATAAGTAGTGTTTAAATGGATTAGAGTTTATATCTTATCTAGATCTTGATAATTTATAAAAGGTAATAGTATTCCTTCAATCTTCATCTTTGTGATAACTTTCTATTGAAACCATTGGTATACTCATACTATGTTTACACTGGGAAAGTTGAACTTTTTCAAATACGTATATCCAAATTAAGAGTTGGTCTGGAAAATTTTTAAAAATTGTCAACCATTTTGCCAGTTTTAAATTTTTGTTCATCACATCAAATTATTTATTGCTACCAGTTTTACTTACTGATTAATGCAGGTGTTGGTAGCCTTATTGGTTTGGAGTCTAGAAAGCAAGAGTAAGTTGTTAATCTGTCATTTAGAAATAGGAATTAGTTCTTGAATACAGTAATACCCCAACTTACGTGAACCCGGAGTTATGCGATTTTCAAATCTCGTCGATTCATCTTTTGTTTGAGTGCCACGCAGCTCTTGATTACTCACTCCCCCACACTATTGTTCAGCTTACATGTTCGGATGTGTTGCGCAGAATCGACACATAGCTACAATTTATTTTGTGTTATTTATTTCTGTGTTTGTTATATCTACGGAGACTCGAGAAACTCTACTATGTCATCTAAACGAAGTAGAACTGATTCTTATGCATCAAACAAGAAAAGAAACTTTATCTTTGGAGTGTAAAGTTAACATTATTAAAGACTTCGATACAAAAATGAAAATTTGTGAATTGGCAAAGAAGTTTGATCTACTGTAATCAACAGTCAGAACAATTATAAAAGGTAAAGAAAAAATTCTCGAAGCTGTAAAAAATGCTCAATCTTTAAATTTAAGCATCATTCGTAAATAACTCACTTTAAACCTCGTAACTGGAGTGAATGTATAATACTTCCGCAAACGTTTTTGATGGCCCTTCTGGGCTCTTCCTCAGGCTTTTTTTGATAAATACTAAGCTGGACGTTGAAAATCGAACATTTTCTTTTGATTCGTTTACCTTTGGAATCATCGTACGTGGAAATGAATCAAAAGAAAATGTTCGATTTTCAACGTCCAGCTTAGTATTTATCAAAAAAAGCCTGAGGAAGAGCCCAGAAGGGGGCGTCGAAAACGTTTGCGGAAGTATTATACGTTCACTCCGGTTATGAGGTTTAAAGTAAGAGTTATTTTTAGTACATTCCGGTGTGTGGAGAAGAATAATTATTCGTAAATGTCGTGGTATTATCCCTGAGATGGAAACAATATTAAAATTATGGTGTGATAATCAATGTTCCCTCTAAGCTGTGCGGCCGCGCACAGCTCAAATTGTTGCCGCGCAGGCGAGCATGCACACCGATTTGAATTGTTGTTTACTTATTTCTCACTCTGTCTGCAACATGATTATTGCTATGTATATTTCGATTAAATACATTAAATCATTGACAAGAGATAATATTTTGTATAAAAGTATGTTTTAAAATTAATTTTAATCTCTACTTTATAATTAATTATTTTAATTTTTATAGAAAAAAATAAGATTTTATATATATATGATCAGAAAAATTTTTTGCTCAGAGAAGTATGTGTTCTGCTCATCCACAAAAAAAATTAGAGGGAACATTGGTGATAATCAAGTAAATGTGAAAAATTGTATAATATAATTTGTTATACATATGTATTATCTAAGATTTTATTAAATTAAGTTTTATTAAGTTTTTCTAAATTATTGTTTCCTTTAGTCTCTGGCCCCAATTAAAAATTATTTGTATGTATTTATATGCGAAATTATACCCTGACTTATGCAAATTCGACTTATGCTGTTATCGCTTGGTCCCACCTATTGCGTTAGTTCAGGGTATTACTGTAATTTTTAAATGAATAATTCTGAATAACACATTTGATGACAATGCTTAAATAGAATTTCATGTGTTCTATCATGTCAAAATTTTTATGCTTTAGTCTAGTGAAAAAAGATCAAAGTGAAAAAATGTCACCCAAAAAGAAACCCAAAATTTTTCTGTCAGTTGATAGATCCCCTATCTGGAAATGCTAGGTAACATTGCATGAAAACTACCTTTGATTGCTGCTTTCCTATTCAAACCTTCTATGTGACATCATGACATCACCAGGTGTCTGGTGCATAGTACTTCCATCACACATGAGCTCAACATTCTGCTGTTTTTCCTGAAGTGTGATTTATGATTCAGTTTCATGCTGAATGTCAAAATAAGTGGACTGGGGGTTATTATCGCCACTTTAATAGAAAAAAAAATATTGCTGAGTAGTGGCACTATGCAGCACAATTCTGCCAAATTTAAAATTAAATGTGTTTAACTACTGTGCTGTTCACATTAACAGCAATGAGCTTATTACTAAATCAAACTATAATAAACATTACCATATTTACTCGCATATAAGACGAGGATTTTATTCATTTTTCACTACTTCAAAAACCTAGGTTGTCCTGTACGTGTGAGCAAAGGATTCTTTGCGTTTTTGCAATTGTTTTTGTGAACTGCGTGTTCGCATCATTTACCAAATGTTCACCCTCTGGTATTTAAAAACAAAAATATTTTATCGGGGTCGTTTGAATCGTTCTTGTATATTGTCAGGAGTAAAGATGAATAGCAATATAGCAGAGCTTTGAATTGAATTCCAAAATCACACGGGAGCCTGATATAAGTTTTAATCCATTCCCATGTGAAAACAGATTATTCAGAAGTCAGAATTTGGAGAAACTCGTAAGTGTAATTGACAGAGAGTGGATTTAACTTAAGATTTGGCAAAAGAATGCTCCCGATTGTCTAGCTTTATTTACGTGAATAAATTGTGTTGTTGATTTTGCAAGATTATTCCTTAAAGTTTAAGATGCCAGTAATTTTTGTGGGGCAATGTGTGCATTTATGTGCATTTGATACTTTATTTTTGATTAAATGAAATAAAATTAGAATTGTAATAATAAATGTAATTTTCTTTATTTTAATCTTTAGAATCACACCTCGTCCTATATGCTAGATTGTCTTATATTAATATGTGAGTAAATACAGTAATTAAAATACAAAAGGAGTTTTATATTCTTAATCTGCAATGTGTTATGTACAGTACAGTACATGTATTGAAATCATAATTGTGGTGAAAAGAATATCCAGATAGCGAAATTATTTATCTGAAGTGATTGAAAATATGGTGACATATCCAGTTCTGTTTGTAACCAGTC